AAAGATGGACAAAATAGACATCACTATCACCTTGACATTTCTATCCAATTGCTACTTGGCAAAATTGAGTACAAAAATTTATAAATATTTGTACTCAAAAATGTTGAGAGATTCCCAATTGTGTACGTGTGCTTGTGAAAGTTCATTGCAACATTGTTTGTAGTAATAAGAAGTTAGAAATAACCTTACTGTCTATCAACAGAGATTTAAATAATATTCCATTATTGAATGGAATTATACAGCTACTAAAAAAAGTGAGGTCGCCAAAGTATTCTTACTTAGAATACTGTTGAATATTTTTTATTTATGTAGATTATGGATTGTGTTCTATATATGTAACATAATGTTAAATGGGAACAAAAAGTAATTTTCAGTAAAAACATTTGTGTGATACAATCCCATGGTTTTATTAATAATCAAAAGAGAGAGAGAGTAAATAAAAGAAATCTGTTAACACTGGCTTATTTCAGAGGAGGGACTATGAAGAATTTTCACTTTAAACATATTTCTGCAATGTCTGAATATTTTTTACAATGATGCTGCATTTCTTTTGCAAGAAGAAAATCTCAATAATGTTAAATTCTGCAGATGTAATTTAGAATATACCTGTTGAAACAGTTTTACTTAATAATTTTATCTCCAGCTCACAGGTTATGGGTTCATGTTCTTCCCCAACAGAACTCTACAAAAAAACACAGGACAGTAGGGTGTGGTTGTCAGTGTCTGCTTCAGCCCAGAGTCATTCTCCTTCTGTGCCAGTTCCCACCCTAGATGCCCACTACCTTATTTCTAGGGCCCCAAACTGACACTCGTCCTGCCATAAAACTGGCCTCTAAAGCATTATTTTAAAAAGCAGTTTAGCTCAACTGGTTAGAACACAGCCTTGCAACACCAAGGTCACAGGTTCAGATCCCCAAACTGGTCAGCCAACAAAACAACCAAAAAAAACAAAAAGCAGTTAAAGTGAGTGCACATCTCCACAGAACTTCATGAGGGCAAGATCTAGCCCACTCAGTTTCTCTGCTGAAAACCCTCAGGTGTAAATTATAGAGACTTGGAAGCAATGCAAGCTATAAAAAATATTATTTATATTTGCATTTTGACTTTAGTCAAGGAGTAGATTTTGCCAGAATTTGATAATCAGCTCTCTAATAGAGTAATTCCAAAGCCTGCTTTTGTGTAAGTTTCTTAAGAAAATTAAAGATTCTGTGCATCAAGTGATGTAGAAAATAATATCTTTTTATACTCTAGTAGTAAAAATATAAGACAATGTGGGTGAGGGATGTCTAAATCTGCCACCAACTTACCTTTGTGACCTTGAACACCAACTTACCTTTGTGTTCCTTAACTGTTACGAGCCTCAAATTCCTGATCTAACAACAACATATTTGCTACTTAACTGAGTACCAGACATGTAATGCACCCTGCAAACAATCCTGAGAGATAAGGAAACTGAAGCTTAGGGAGATAACTGTCCTAAGGGTCAAATAAAATAATTGAAGTAAAAGAACTCTGTATACTGGAAAGCACTAGATAAATGTAGTGTTGTTTTTATAAAAGTTTAATACATATGTGCTAATACTTGTAAACTGGATGATATCCAGCAAACTTCTTTAACCTCAGATACTACCTGTACTTCTGCAGCCACAGAATAACCTTATACCAGCATTCTAGTCAGAAGCTTAAATATGGTTAAACCCACCATCACTTTTATCTTCAACCACCACACACAGACAAGTCCCCTTAGTAAACTATCCTTTCCCTTACCTCATCACTATATTGTCCTGTGTATCTTCCTCTGGACCAGCTTTAACACTATTGCATTCTCTGCCAGTCCTTTCCATGGTGCTCTGAAATGTCTCACTTACTCACTCATTCATTCAAAGAATTTTTATAGAGTTCCTAAATTGTACAGGCATTGCTAGATACTGTGAATTATAAAAATGAAAAAGACAAAGTCCCTGAGTTGAGGAGTTTCCAATCTATTAGGGAAGTAGGTAAACAAATAGGTATAATATAGTTTTGTGGGTGCTGTAATAAAAAGCGAGGGATTTCCAACAGTAGAACAAGGAAGAATAGTCAATTCTGTGTGGAAAAGGGTG